TGAGAAGGCTATTCAGGTCTCTCAAAGAGGAACCGAAAGAGCTATGCTTGGAGTTTCATGCTTCACTCAAATGAGAGAGAATCTGGAGTTCCGACCTCTGTCAATGCTCAAGAATCAGCGACGCTGTCTCATTTGCCATGGCATCGAAAATCAGATGGGCTGGCCACGTAATGAGATTTAGACAATGACCGCTGTTCTAGAGCCATTACTGACTGGGTTCCATGGGATGTCAAAAGATCGCGTGGACGCCCACCTATGAGATGGTCAGACTTCTTCCTCAAGACCCTGAACAATCAGTTTGAGGTTCTTCATATTCCTAGAACAAGAAGATGCCATTGGGCTATGCTAGCATGCAAGAGGGATGAATGGAGACGTTACTGGCGCCAGGTTGAGCAAATAGATGAGTAACAGGATATCAAGTGATCAATTGATACTGGGTTCATTTCATTGGGTCATGTATTATCTAGCTACAAAAACTGTATAGATTCTGGATATAGTCCTTCCAGCTAAATATTGTCTTACAGTTTTTAGCTTATACTTTTTGTGAGGAGGCCAGGGAAAGTTGAGTCACATTCAGTGATGCTCAGGGGTTACTCTTGGGTCTACACTCAGGGATTACTCCTGTCAGTGCTCAGGGAACTAAGTGGGATGTCAGGATTAAAATCCTGGTTTACTGGGTACAAGGCCTGTACCCTACCCACTATACTATCTCTTCGGCTTTTGTGGCTTATACTTTTACTTAAAAACATTCTTTTAAGACCAAAGGTCTTTAACTAAATAGCTTTTTACATATCTTTTTTAATAATGAATGCTTTTGATGTCCAGAAAATACATGTCTAGAGAAGATTATTAGGGTACTCTCTTTTGATATTTCTAGGTGTGTAATTTAATATTATCACAGATTTATGATTCGCTTCAGAATAAATTTTGCATGTGATTTATGATTTAGAAACTAATGCTTTTTTCCTTCAAATTTATATTACAATGTTCCATACTGTTTAAAAGACAAACTGATTTTCCTACCAAATAACCAAGCTAGTTTTTGTAATTTTTCTAAAATATCAATTGACAAATATGTACCTATATCTGTCTTTAATTTTTATATTCTATAAATTTATCCAATCATAATAAAATATATATTGTGCAATATAGATTTATAGCAAAAATTTAAATAAATATCTTTAGACACTCTACACATGTTAAAATTTTGTTGGGTATTCTAGATTGTTTTTCTATATTTTAGAATAATCTTATCAGGCTCTAATAAAAAGCCACTGCAAATCTAACTGGTATTGCATTGAATCAATAGAACTATTTAGAGAGAATGGATGTCATAAAAACATTAAATATTAAATTAATAGTCATCATTCATGTTCTTATTTGTTAGGTTTTTCATAATTTCTCTCTGTGGTATGTTTTGATTTTCATTGTAGGCTTTCTTTCACAGTTTTCATTGCATGTATTTCTAATTAATTTGTATTTTGATTATAGTTATAGAAAACATTTAATATTTACTCCCCTAATTATTTGTTTTTAATATTCAGAAACAAATTATTTTGTATTTTAAACTTTCACCCTAAGTGGTTGACTAATTCACATTAAATTTGGTAGCTGATTTATATATTTCCCAAATGTTCCCTGTTATTAGTAAACAAAAGTATATTTGTCTGTCTGCATTTTACCTTTAATTTTTTCATTATCTTAAGTTACATATGTCTTAAGTCAAACTTATCTATAAGTTTCACTCAATATGAGTTAAATCCACATGACAAAAATGAATACCTTTGACACGTTCTTATTCTTAGGAAGGATTTATAGTGCATTAGAGCATTAAGTGTGAAAATTTGTTTTTAATATCTAATTAATTAAAGTTGTTATCATAGATTAACCTTAATTTATGCCAAATGTTTTATGTGCATTTGTATGATATAAACATACATTTTATGTTTTTATGTTTTAAAGCAACAAATTACATTCATTTTAAACATTGGAACAAGCATATTTACAGGGAAAATGCCACTTGATAAAAACATATTAACCTTTTATATACCATTCAGTTAGATTTGATAATGATTTATAGTTAAGTTTATTATTTTGGAAAAGCATTTTAATTTGTTTTCTCAGGGATCACTTCTATGGGTTCTTCAGGACTATATGTAGTGCCTGGATTAAGACAAGGGCCGGCTGAATGCAAGGACCTATAACACCATTTTTAGAGTACACAACTGGCAAGCTATCGAGAGTATCCTGCCCGCACAGCAGAGCTTGGCAAGCTCCCTGTGGCATATTCGATATCCCAAAAACAGTAACAACAAGTCTCACTATGGAGACGTTACTGGTGCCTGCTCAAGCAGATTGATGAACAACAAGAGGACAGTACTGCAGTGCTACAGTGCTACGACTGAGCAGATAGTATAGATTTCCAAGATATCCATCCCTTCACTTAGGTATAGTCTCCTCATTATCAAACTCTCTCCTACACTGACAGTTATTCAAAGTCCTATGATAACATTTTGGTTCACTCTTCATGGGAAACATTCTGTAAGTTTGGACAAATCATCACCATCATAGTATAATTTAGAGAGTTTTACTCCCTGAAAGTCTAGGATGTTCTGCCTATTCATCCTTCCCTTCATTCTAAGGTTGAAGAGTAACTCATTTTTTTACTGTTTCTATTTTGTCTTTTAGAAAATGCAATATATTTGAAGTCATATAATAAATTTAATTCAAATTCCTTGCTTTTCCTTGAAAATAAGTTTCTTCTATGTCTTTTTATAACCTGATAGTTCTTTTGTTTTAATCTCAGCATCATATCGTCTGGATTGATCATAAATTATCCATTTACAAGAACATCTTCTCTTCCAAGCTTGGGATTTGAAGTTAAGGTTGATCTGTGTGCACGTTTCTGTCAATACAAATTTTCAGTCTGTTTGGGTAAATATCAAGGAGTCTAATGGCTGAATTGAGTTTGGTAAGATTATGTCTAATTTTCTAAGGAGCCACCAGCTCTTCCACAATGGCTGTGCCATTTTGCATTCCTACTAGAATGGACAAGGTTTTCTATTGCTTTACCTCCTGGTGAGCATTTGATATTTCCAGTGTTTTGGATTTTGACCATCCTGACAGATGTCACATGATATCTCATGCTGACTTTAACTTACATTCACAGATAACATTCTATATGATATCTTTTTCAATGCTTATTTTAGATCTGTGTATCATTATTTGTTGACATGTTTGTTAAAGATCCTTTGCCAATAGTTAAGCAGCAGAGAAAGGAGATATAGGAGAATATAGGAGACAGTAGGAGAGTGGATTAGAAAATAAGAATTGTGAAAATGTCTTGTACATTTTGGTGCTAGTAAAGGTTTATTTTCATATCCAAAACAATAAAAATTAACGTTATTGCAACCATGCTACGTAAACTACTATGAAACAAATAAAACAAACAAAATATAAATAAAATCTCAGAGAACCCACACAGACCACACTCACATAAAATGGTTTGACCCAATTTATAAATCAAATTGTTTATTTTACTGAATTTGAATTAAGACATATTAAAGCATGGTGATTTACAGTTATTCACAGTTGACAAAGGACTAGGTGCAAAATTGCCATATCTAGTGATTCTCAGAGTTTATTTCTGCTTCTGTGCTCAGGCATTGATCCTTGTGTTGCTGGGAAAATATACGTGGTGTTGGGAATCTAACATTATAAGGCAAGCCTTAACCCCTGTAACCTCCAGTTCATTAATTTGTTTTTTTAACCCATTAATTTATTTTTTTATTTTGTTTTTGGTTTATTTGTTTATCATATGTGGACATTCCAGTACTTCAGCAGTGTTGTTTCAAAATTAAACATTTTTAAAGAATTTTTCAGTTGGTCTTTTGTCAAATATCAGTTAAATATATTTATCTGAATTTGTTTTGGATTCTTAATTTTGTTCCTATGATCTATTTGTCATTGTTTACCCAGCACCACACTGTTTTCATTACGTTAGATCTGATTTTAAAGTTAGATAGCAACTTTACCTTGATCAGTCTTCTTAAGTGTGTATGGACTATTATGGGTATTTTAACACTACATAAAACTTTACAATCAACTTACCAATACCCTCAAAATATCTGGCTGGTATTTGATTGGGATAGTTTTAAATCTACAATTCTATTTGAGGAAAAAAAACTGATATCTTAGTTGTAATATTTCAATCAAGGAGAATGGAACATCTTAATTTTTAAAATTGATTTGTTGTATTAGAGTTTTCTTCTAATGGATCTTTAGATATTTTATAGATTTGTGCTGGAGTGTTTCATTTGGAAGGAGTGATAATGTAAATGCTATTCTGTTTTCAATTTAAAATTCCACTTGTTAGTTTCTGTTACATTGCAAAGCAAACAGCTTTTGTATATTAACCTTCCTTGTATTCTGCAATCTTGCTATGTTCACTTATAATAGACCCAGGAGCTTGTTATTGAGACTTTAACATTTTCTTTTTTTTTTCTTTTTCTTTTTTTAAAATTTTTTTTTATTAGTGAAACACCATGAGGTACAGATGTAGATTTACAATTTTTTGTGCTTGGGTTTGATTATACAATGATCAAATACCCATCTGTCCACCAGTGCCCATTTTCCACCACCGTGGATAATATCCCCCCCACCCCCATCCCCCCCATCTCCCCCTGCCTCTGTGGCAGGGCAATCCCCTGTGTTCTCTCTCTCCTTTTGGGTGTTGTGGTCTGCAAAAGAGGCATTGAGGTGCAAACATGTTCAGTCCATAGTCCACTTTCGACATGCATCTCCCCTCCTGGGAGGGTCCTCCAAACACCCTTATTTGGTGTTCCCTTCTCTGTCTGAGCTGCCCTTTCCTCTAGAATGCCCGACTGGCCACTAAGCTATGGAGTAATCCTCCTGGTGCTGATCTCAGCTATTCTTGGGTATTAATCTCATATTTTGAGACTTTAACATTTTCAATGCAGATGAACAGAGAATCTGAGAAGAAAGAACAGTGTTCCATCTTCCTTTCTAACTTTCCTTGTGTGGGGGCCATGCTAATCTTTTCTGAATAGTTCCAATTTTAGTATACATGCTTCTGAAGTGAGCAGCAATTTGTCCACTTTTTCTTATGCCTTTTTAGATTGTTTAGGTTTTGTTTGGGGTTTACACCCAGCAATACTCAAGAAATTACTTTTGGCAGTGCTTGAGAGACGAAATGTGAAGCCTGGGATCGAACCTGGATCTCCCGCATGCAAGGCAAGTACCATACCTGCTGTATTATGGCTCCCATAATACATACAGTCTTTTGACTTAAGTGTTTTGGCATTCAGAATGATGTTGAAAGCACTATGTTGTCTGAGACTGCCAATTCCATTTCAGGTTTTCCTAGTTCAGCATCGGTTTTTCTTTTTAATATTTTTTGCCAGGTTGCTACTTAGTTGCTTCTGTATTCACATATTGGTCCTTTTAAATTGGGGACAGTGATTTGTCCACTGATTCACCTTACTTCTTTTACAGATCAAAGACTAGTGGTTCCTTTCATTTTGTACAGCCATTTGTTTATAGCATAGAAAGGAAACTTCTTAAATGTTGGTAGAAACCAGAACTCCCAAGTCTGATGCAATTTTGATAAGGGATTTTCCATTTATCCTTTGGATCAATCAGTGAAATTAAGTTCAGGTAAAGAAAAAAAAAGTTTAATTTTAATTATCCTCATGTTCAAAAGTCTTGATGGATTTTTTCAAGTTAATTGCTCTGAAATATTCATGATATTCCCTTTTGACATTCCTTGTCATCTGTAGGATTGTATCAGTATTTTCTTTATAATTCCTTATTAAATATTTGTATATCTTTAGAAAACTTAACTAGGAATCTTTAATTTTATTTACCTGCTCAGAGTGAGTGTTAGATATTGATCTAAAGTTTTACTTTGTTATTTCTTTGTCTCTTATCTTTAATATTTACCGTCTTCTACTTGTTTTTTATTGTTGTTTTATTTTCTGGGCCACACCCAGTGGTGCTAGGGATTTATTTCTGGCTCTGTGCTCAGGGATCATTCCTGGTGAGGCTCGGTGGCCATATGGAATACAAGGAATTAACCTGGGTCAGATATGTGCAAGAAAGTACCCAACCTGCTATACTATGTCTCTGGACCCCAGATTAATTTTTTTTGGCCTAAGTTAATGTGAAAATAAATCATTTAAATATATCTTCTTTCTAGAGGTATTTAAAGGTGTACATGTTTCAGATTTGAGGGTATATAGTGTTTATTTTAATGCAGAGAAATAATTTATATTTGTCTTCTGATTTCTTCTTAATGTAAAAGTATTTAGGAATGAACTGCCTGATTTGAAAATATGCATAATTTTTTAATGTTTAACTGATTTTACTTGTGAGTTAATTCTGGTATGGTTGGAAAATGTGCATATCATTTTTGATCAGTTCTTGATAATCTGCTGTCAGGTGTTTCACAGCTCTCCACTGAGTCAATCTCAGTGACTTTTCCGAGTGCACTTGAGGAACTGTTTCCCATGTTGATTTATGTTTGTTTCACAGGCCATCATGTCAGATTTCCCTTCATATTCAAATGATCAATAGGTTTTACTGAAATTGGTGTGATTTTTTCTAGAAACCTTCTGAAAAGAAAAATATCAAAATCCGAAAATGTGCCTAAGTTTTTGGAGTAGTATCCCAAACTTCTGCAAATATTTCTTTGTGCATTTCCAACCTTTGTTATGAATGGCACACACATTTAGAATTTAAGATTCGTTACTCTGCAAGCAACAATGCAGAGTGATCTACATTATCTCAGGTACTACATTTTGTATTGTGTTTTATTAGTTTTGCATTTGTCATAGCCATACCAGCTTATATATGCATATGGTCATGGGTGGTGGGGGTGTAGTTCCCAAGCAAGGCCTGGGGACCCCACAGATGATTATCGACTAAGCTAGTGGGGTAGACGGGTCAAGGCAAGGCCTGGAGGACCCTATGCTTCCTAGGCTCTAAGGTTCTGGGAACTCAATAGCCACCCTGGAGATGCTGTGGACCTCCAAGGTGCTAAAGGCCTACGGTGGTTTTCTGGATTCTCTAAACTTATTGCCAGGAATTCTCAGAGGACCATTCTGAGAATGGAACCCTAGCTGATGGCTAGTACCCTATCCACTGTATACTATGTCCCACATATGGATTTGCTTGAACATGATTTTGATTCATTTTCTTTCAACTTAGCCATATGTTCATATGTTGAATGTGTCAGTTGTTAGCATAAAACCATATCTTATATATTTTCCATATATACTTTCCAGTCTAACAAAAGTTTCCTTTTGTTCGGAGAATTTAGCTTGCAAGTACTTAATATAAAATTAAATTGTTATGCTCATTTTCTATTTATATCTGATGTAACCCTCCATTTTAGTTTTTCTTTCTATAGATGCTATAATTTTTAAGTATGTTATTCAGTGACTTCAAATAATCACATTGCTATGCAATTGTCACCAGCTTCCATTGTCAAAACTTGTTTTATCTTCTCTTTTTAACACTGTTTTCATTTAAAAAAAATGTAACTCATTTTTGTCTCCCTCCCTCTAGCAACTTGACTCTCTCCTCCTCTCACCCTTTATCTCTCTCATAGACACATACATACCTCTACCAACAAATTTTATTGATTTCTTTATAGCATGTATTTTTGTAGTTTAATTTTAATTATACATTACTTCATAAATAACCTTAAAGCATTGTAATTTTATTTATTTCTTCAATTCATTATTATTAGTATTATGCATTATTTTTGCTTTGCACATTTGATCTCAAGAGAAGTTAAGGTACACTTTTATATTGACATGTTTTTACCATTTTTAGTACTCTATTTTTTCCTATAAATCAAAATTATAATACTGTATTATATTCCTAACTCTGAAGAATGTCAGCACTTCTAGAATATGTGTTGCATCTTTTTCTTGTTTATCTAAAAACTGTCTTTATTTTATCTTCATTTTTGAAAAACATTTTTATATGCATGGGATGCTAGGTTGACTGTTTTATTTTGCTGCTTCTATAAGAAATTTTAAGATGTCATTCCATTATCTTTTAGTCTTATTTTTTGTATGTTGAAATGTCAACCTTCATTGTTCTATATATACAAATACATATATATGGATATGTGTGTGGAGGGAGAGTAAGAGAGAGAGATTTGTTTGTTTTTAATATTAAGCATCTATTTGCTACTTTTGGTAAACTTCCTTCTTTTGTGTGCACCCATTTTTCTCTCATATCATTTTCCTTGTCTAAAAACAAACTAAAGCTTCTTTTAGAGCAGGCTAGCAAGTGACAAAATACTCCTGGCTTTTCTTTGAAAATTTATTTTACCTTTATTTTCAAAGATTTCTTCTCTGGGTATTGAATTCTTAGTGGACTAACATACTTTCTTTCAGAATTTCAAAGGCTGCTTCATTATGACTCATGTTGTAAATATTAAAACAAGAAGTCAGTAGTTTGTATCTTTTAAAGCAATATGTCTTTTAAGTAATATGAATTTAATAATTATATCTTCCTCATTGGCCTTGAGGAATTTGCTATATACCATGATGGGTGCACATACAAGCTTCCATGTACATGTGTTTGAGTGTGTGTGTGCATGTGCATTGCTTATGGAGGTAACTCCCATGTGTTTGAGAGATTTGGGTATTCAGTTTATATTTTTTCAAAGTCTCTGAATGTCTTCGGCCAATATTTCTTAAGATATTTTCCTATACCTTTCTCTCTTCTCATTTTATGGCTTGTATTTTAGATAGCTGGATGTAATCCAGCAGGTCAGTTTGGCACTGTGTATAATTTTTCTGTTATCTCAGTAAGTGTAGATGATTTCTATTCACTGGACTCAAGTTCTTTAGAATTATACCTTGCCCACAGCTCTATGATATTTAAATCTATTAGTAGTCCTGTTCTGTAATATTTTAGATTTTATACTTTTCATCTCTAGAATTCCAATTTGGTTCTTATAAGTGTATATGTAGTTTTTCCATTTCAATCGCTATCATGTCTACATAATCCTTAAAAATCACTGGATACGTGGAATACATTTATAATAATGATTCTAAAATCTTGGTCTGCTAATTCAATCTTATCGCTAAATTTATTTTTATCTGCTAGTATTTTTCCAGCTTTTCTATCACATTTTCTTTTTTTGTGACAAGACAGCACTATTTTTTAAAACATAAGCATCATAAAGTGTTGGGTTTCATAGGATTATTTTAAAAGTGTGTTGGACTTTGTTCTAGGATGTTATTAGTGCATTGGATTGATCTTTTGAGTAATGCACTGAAAAACTTAAATAATTTTGTTTTGGGGAATAGAAAAACATTTTCCTCTATGCTTTCTTGATCCTAAATAGCTTACCAATATGCTTTCTCTCCAGATTAACCAAGAAAGGTTCATATGTTCAGTATTTATTTTTTGTTCCTATTGATCAGAACTCCAGTGTCATCAAATTCTTTTCAGCTTTGGTCATTTTCATCTGAGAGTACCATTTCATTCTCTGCAAGACTATTAGAATTTGACCACTAATATAAATGTTTTTGCATTTCTTAATTATACACACTAGGGCCTGATTTTATCATTTTTAAATTTATTTTTCTATTTTTACCTACAGCCTAATATAAAACATATTATTTTATTCATGGTATCTATGAAATGTTTTAATGACCATGTGCTATAATCAATTTTGTATTATTAGTTTCAAGAATAACAGAATCTGTATTACATAATTAATCTTCTAAATGAGTATCAGAATATTTTCAGTAAATTCTTACTCAATTCCTTTGGTAATATATAGAAGAAATTCCTAGTCATTTGAACTTAGAAAAGACTTGATGGTTTTAAAATAATGTCATTTCATTCAAGGAAACAAATTTCTTATTTTAAAATTTTTTATTATTAATATTAGTAGCATTTTGAATTTCTGCTCTTGTTCTACTTATGTGCTTTCAATAATTATATCACAATTACGAATGATATCCCTTCTTCAATTATATTTTACTGATTATTTTCTATCATGTAGTTACTTATTATTAACTTTTAGAGCTTAATGGTTAAATAGTTTTGAATAAAT